CGTCAAGCCAGATGAGGAAATGGCCATGTAAACACCCCCGTTCAGTATATTCTGACGAGCCATAGAAAGCACGCAAACGTCCAAACAAACCACCACTCAGATAAGATGACCGTGTCTTGAAATTCCAACCAAGGAGGTACTCAAAACAACATTTGAATGAGAACTCATAAAAATCTGCTGCCACCACAGGATCGCGTGCAAGACGAATAGCACACTTGCATGCCAAAATGAGGCGAGGAAATTGATGTGACAGATCAACAGTCTGGTCACTGTACATGACCTGAAAGATAGGGCTACTATGGGCAGGACATGGGTTAAAGGTAAAAAACAAATGAGGCAACCCAAAATAACTGAAATAACTGTGTATCTCATTCTGCACGCAAATTTTCGATGCCTGAGACCCTGGGATCCGAGCTGCAATAGTGTTGACTTGCTTCAAGAGATTGAGTGCGTTTTTTTCCGCAGGCGCCAAGTTCGAAAAGTTATGGTCATGTTCAAGTTTCGAGGCAAGACTGTCCAAAATAGCAGGTGATACCTGGGTAAGATTTTGCGCAACTTGATGAAAGTTTGAATGGCGCACAGTAAAGAAAGTGCCGAGATGGGCCATCCGACATTGAATCATGTTCCACACCACAAAGATAAATGAGTGGTGGTATCGAAATGAGTGATCTGCAATGTTCAGATAATACTGAGCCTGTTTCTGGAAGGACAAAGCTTTAGGCCGAGCATCGTCTTCAAAACCTCCAATACCAAACAGGAACAGGGTGGGATATGTGCCTAAGAGTAGATCCGGATTATTGTACTCATTAATGGGATGAAAGCCTCGGTGCACCACAAGATCAGGCAGTGTCGACTTTTCAGAAAAAAGGTTCCTGAGTGCAGCAGCTATAAACATGTGTGGGCCACTGATGTTATCGCATTCCGGATCAGACATGCCTGCTTTCTCAAGCATTGTTACACCAGAATCGGAGTCAACGTCTACCAAAAGCTCCGCTGGATGCTCCTGAAATTCAGCTGTTTCTTCTTCAAAAACTCTCTTGACATTGAGCTCATTATTTTCAACCACATGATCAGATAATCCAGGCAACATGTCATCAGCAGGATGAAGGTTCAGATTTCCTGGTTTGAGTGGGATATCAGAATACAGATGATTATGATGTTTCAACCAAACAAGAAACGACCAGATTTTATTCTTCCGCACTCGAAACATGGGACCCATCTGTTCGGGCTTGAATTTACCAGGACCAACGAAGACGATGCTGAGAAAACCATTCACATCTGCAGGAGTCCGAGGCAACACCGAAGCAGTTGACACAACATTCATATCATGAGCACAAATATTACCGTGAAAGACCTTCAGCTGCAGCGGATCAGACGACTGGAATAAACGTGTGACATGAGCCGTGGTACTGTATATTGCACAAATTTTCTCCTCAACCCAAGTAAGGTCCTCAAAGTATTTCGGAAGTTCCCCACAATACAAGTTGTTTGTGAGCACAAAACGGGGAACACAATCCTCCTTTGATAAAGCAGTAAAACAATCAGCACATACATTCATTGTAGTCGAGTCAGGAGAATCTTCAATTATTCCTGCCTTGTCAAGCATCACACCGTCTAGGACACTATTCTCGAATGTGAAAGCTGCGGAAACACACTGCACAATACATTTTCAGATGATGAAAGTATCTGTAATGCGAAGAGCATCCAAAGTTATTAACGGGCATGGCGTGCCAGGCATTGATGAGATAATAACCTCCTTGGAATCATGCTGCCTTTGAGAACATACCACACAAACAGGAGGATCAATCCACTTCAAGCCTTCATAATAACAATGCAAGCAATCCAAAATGACCTCTTTCGAAACAGGTGCTGGCCATTCACAACGACACACGACATCAAGATTTCGTGCTTCAATCGCCAACTCAATTTTACGTTCACATCGCGTTATTTTTCATTGGTCGGACTGAGAAAGTATTTGATGTCCAAGACGCTCCACCACAGCAGATTCATATTCAAACGACAGGATTTGCAGAATATACTCCTCGTCTAACTGATTACAAGGCTGAGACAATGGTAGGTAACAGAGCAAGATATCACACACCGTACTTGGACCGATATATTGCAAGAAATTCACTCGATCGCAAATGTGAACAGCAAGACCATTGCAAGTCTTCTGACATGAGCGGCGGTGTATCGACAGACGCCCCTTCGAAGGTAGACCATGTATACAATCTGAAAGCACTTTGATAGTCAGTTTATGAAGCCTCTGAACTAAATGTGTAATCAGGAGAGCAGACCAACGGATTTTCGGCACGTCGACAGGATCAAAGACACAAACCTGTGGTGGCGGTGGTCGACACAGAGCCTCAAAAACATTTTTTCCATACATATCACCGAAGTACCTTGCCAAATGAGGAACGAGTTGGCTACCTTCTGCAACGATTGGGGTGTGGGAAAGTAATGTTTGCAGTTGATCCTTACTCGAATGCATCACTTGTAGTCGGGTGGCAGCAAAATGATGTAGCACCGTGCGCACGCGATCCATTTTCGTTTTTCCTTGTGGAACAGAGAGACGAGAAACACAATCAACCAAGACACCATCCAGAAGGACCAATAAATGTTGCTCTTGAATTTCCTCGCTGTAATAGAACCATGTCGGGTAGATGTCTAGCCTTGAAGGCAGGCACTTCTCGACGGAGAGGGCATCACAAGAGGAAAGCTTGCAAAAGACAACACAATGACAGTAACTCGCATCTGCAAATTCACCTGGTGTCATAGTCAATGATTTTTGTTGGTGGCATATAGTGATACTAACACCATCATATGAAACACAACCATGAAAACTTGACCAGCGGCACTTCGAGCAACACAAAGGATGAGATTTAAGCGAAGACTTCAACCATGTACAAAAATGTTCAGATGTTTCAAAAAACACAAGATTAAATCATGGATAATAGAGTGCATCATAATAACGGGGATATTTGTTCACATCGTGGGGCTCATCGAAAGGAGGACATTGTCCTTCATCAAGGACTCGAGCCAAATGACAAGGCAACTTTGTAAAAAAAAACCCTGAACACACATAAGCTATACTGCAATGAAACAAACGAATTATACTCACATGTGCCTGCCGCAGTGCGTGCTTTTTCAGTGTATCTGCAAGTATTTGGTGGAGAAAGAAAAAGGACAGCGCGATGCTTTCCCACAACATCGACCACCGAACTAAGCAAGCGCACATTTTTCCCACACCCACGGGTCCGTTTGCAGAGAAATAGTCATTTCCTTGCGACAAAACCCTCTTCCACTAAAGTGGAGTCGGGGAATCTGGATGGAGTACGTGATCGGGAATTGTGCGCTGACCTGAAAAGCTTAATGTTGACACTCCGACAGTTTACATTTTGAAACTCAGTATCATCGCAACTTCTAAGTTGGGCACCTCTTTGGTACCAACTATATCATTCAGTCGAGTACTACCATTGACCATCGTTTATTCGCAAGATGAACCTGAAATCTATCGCCGTCCTCCTTACTGCTGTTGCCGCCCATGCAGTCGCAGGTCCCATTGAGTATGCCAGCTGTCAAACAGGTGAGGTCAACAAGCATGCCATTGTGCACGGCTGACTCGAATTCTTGACTAGGATGCAATGGCCACGCTGTTTCTTGTTATGGGGCTGCTGGATTTACATTCGGAGTGGCCCTTCCTTCAGTACCTCCTGTTCTCGCTACATGTAATACAGGCCTGGGGACATGTATGGCGGCTTGTGCAGACCTACTCTCTGAGCGAGTCCAATCATGAATATGGCAAGAAGAACGCATGTCCCTCTTGGTGATGGGACCGACGCCCGTCCCTTCCGTTTTTGCCTCGTATTGGCCTTTTCTCAGCCATGTTCTGCAATTTCGCAGTGTCATACATAATGGTTTTTCATGAACTGTATATACTAGCCCATTGATATCCCGCTTTTGTTTTCCGCAAGTGCTGTTCCTGTTCTCTGAAGTTGAAAAAATTCATAGTACCGTGTCAGATATGTGGAATCTGCAGCAGCAGCAGCGACCCCCACGAACTGGCACCATGTTCCAATAGTAAATGCCGACGGCGGCCAACCTACTTAGTACACCTATTTCTGCTTCACGAAAGCAGTCATGCACTACCTTTATGTTCGCAACGTGACCAACCAATCTATGCGAGAGTGTGGCTCCCCCTCCGCGACAGAGCTCTCCAATTGTCCGTGGTCGGACCAGAGGGTGCGCTTACCCGTGTCGATACTGCAGACTCTGGAGGAAGCAGCCTGCCGTACTCAGCGGCGGTCTCACCACGGATCAGGTAGCCATACTAGTCAATATATATCTGGTCTTTGCTGTGGTCACCACTCTCTATGCCTGTCATGCTCAAGTGAATGCTAGATTTCTTAATAAGCTAGTACAGGTCCGGAACGATCCACTACATTTATGGCATGATCCTGGACAAGGTACGTCTGGCAAGTTTTTTTTTGAATCAAATTATTGTCCTGTTGGGGTATGATACCTTTATGTGGGACGTCACTATCAGAAAGGGGGACACCCCCCACCGCATCTCCGACGCTGCAAATGTCACGGTGGTTTGACCTCCACCGGTCCGCCGTTGTCTGGCAAGCTTGCCCACCATCAGTCCAATCCTCGCCACAAAGATTGCCTACCAATGGCACATTGCCATCATTCGCCTCGCAGTGCAAGTGTGAGGCACTTGCAAGCGATCTTTGTTGTCGCTGGGTATCAGGTTCATGCAGTGTTCCTTTGATCTACCTATTCATTTTCAACCTCGCGCATAGTTTATCTGTCGTACCTGTTGACCAAAGAGCTGATGAGGTTCTAACATGCTTATGTAGCACAAATGTAGTACCTGACTTATATCAGTAACGTAGTCATCCAATACAAATTGTTTATCAATGTATTCGTTATACTTTGCATCCCCTGGCACTGGCAGCTACTGCAAGGGGCATCCTGCCGAATAACACCTTGATTTGCCTTGTTGCACTATCGGACATAAAACCATATAAGTGAATACAAGTTAAACTTGTAATATTGGCACTACATAAAATATACGACAACATTGCAACATTCGTAGCCCAATAATGCACGTTTCATCGTCCCTGTCGTGCGGGGGGTATAAACAGCATGTGTCTACTTTATTATTAATTAGCGCCTGAATGAGTGATGCTGAATAGGAGGGCAAACATTTGATTAATTGGAGAGACCAAGGAGAGACAAGTGGTCTGTGAGACCTGAAGAAGCGATGGTATTGGCGAAAGGAGCAAGGAGAGGACGAAGGGAGGAAACGGTGCCAGGAACGAGCGTGTTAATGATCTTGAGGATGGAGGTAGCGTCGTGGCCCACGTCTGCGACCGTGAAGATAACGTCCCTAAGGTCGCCGCTAATATTGCCCACAAGGACACTGCCTCCAAGGCTTCGCTGAAGCCCCTCCCCAAGCCCCTCGAGGAGACCCTAAAAGCGGAGGCTCAGCAAAAACAAAAGCTAGGTTGCATTACCGATACTTACGGTGACAACAGGAGGAAGGCTCTGAAGAAGCGAGGTAATGGTACTCAACAGAGACCTAAGGGAGTCAAGTAAGCCACCTAAGTCACCTAAGCCACCTTGGTCAGCGAGTGGCTGAATTTGAGAGATAAGACTGGTGAGTTGAATCTTGATTTGAGCAACGACAGGTGAGATATCAGCAACCGTAGCGTTCTCCGGAGTGATGTAGGCTAATAACAATCAGACATGTTGAAGCCAATGCCGAATATTGAAGACTTACTAAGCTGGTCAGTCAAGGGCTGGATCTGGGTGAAGAAAGTAGTAAAGACAGCAGCAAGCGTCTCGTCCGAAGAATTGGCAGTGATCTCCCGACCGACGCGAGGAAGATCAAGCTCCTTGTTAAGACCGGCAACATCAGACTTAACAGAGGAAAAGTCAGCGGGGACAGCAGCGCCGGGGTGCCTGGTGATAGGAGTAGCATTGGTGAAGGTGCTCAAAACAGCCGTAAGGAGGAGAATTGTGAAGGTAGTAAAAGAGCGCATTTTGTAAAGATTGTGGGGTCTGATGAGACGACAGGTGTGTTTGGAACGCGTTCACGGAAAAGAAAGATGACAAGAGGTCAATACAGACTTTCTGGGCAAGCAGTGGACTTTATAGTGCGCCTCTGCACCCCTCG